AAATATCAAATTAGCCACCACTGTTCCAGCCAATGAAAGACGAGAAAACCTGAGGCGCGGAAAAATTAACACGTCATAGAACACATCCTCACCCTTCATCCCGTGGTTGTAGGCATACGATAACCAACCAATATTGAGGTAAGTACACCTTTTACAAGGGATTGGAATCTGTTTTAGAAAAATTAAAGTGCTGAGGTGAATCATTAAATTGTAATGAAATAGGTAAGTGCAAGTATCATTAATAAATGCATTAATAAAGGAAACACCCTAGGGTAACAACATTCATTTGCAATGTATAATGCTACAGATATATCACAAACTATCATGATATCCACTTTTGGTTTTAATACAATTATCCTCATGCCAGTTGTTTTTATTTTATACCTTTTTGTGCATTTAGTGCACAACCGTACCCTTCAGAGAGTAGGAGTATAATAAGTAATGAAGAGCTATAAGATGTTAAGTTAATGGAGTAAAATGAGGATCAAGTAAAGACGTTGTTAGAAAATAAATGAGATAAGACATTGTGGAGTGGTATGAAAAGATCTGACGATAGACAGCAAGTTAATTTATAAGATGCCCCATAAATCTGAGCAGATCCCACATGGTCGCATCTCAACAATAGGCTGGGTGAATGGTATATATTTAAAGGTAGAAGCATGTAATGTAAGCCGAAATCACACGGTCAGTGACTCGTTAAAGAATATAAACTGCGTATATATAAACAGCACTTTGATCAATGAAAACGACAACTCGGCTTCCGAGTCTTGCCTCCTACTGCTACAGTATGACTTCCCAAAGAGACTGACAGTATCAGCTCCCAAATTACCGTCATACTTACCCCGAGTAGGCAGGGCGTTTACTTTCAGGCAGTAATTGCACTACATTCAGCGCTATTAGAACTTCCTGTACAATATGTGGCTTTGTGTTGCAACAGCCTGTGAACTATCAACATGCAAGGTGTCTGAAGCAATGATTTTATGCTGATGGAATCAGAATAGCATACTTTTTAAGAAATTACGGACTGGAACTGTCACATTGCATGCCTTCCCCTATAGAGACCAGTGAATTGGAAATGCACAGGGGAGTTCCCTAGCAGTTATTACTGCAAGAAAACTAGTGTTCCTGAGGAAAAAACGAAAGAAACTGGATGACGACTATTAGCCAACAAATCGAATGAACATAAAACAAAGCCGGCTTTCTACGAATACAATCTAGCCCAGTAGGGAAAAACCGGATTTAAAGTTAGTTGATAGCGATCAGCGATCAATACCTCACTAGTCTGGATATGGTTGAAACACTCAATTTGGCCCTCGCCAAACAGTTAAACGGCAATATGGGTATTACCGATACGGACCAAAATGGCGACACTACTATTTCACCGGAGGAAAAACTAGTGGCTACTCCCCAAATAAACCCGGCAGTAGTACTAGGGAAGCTACAGAGACTCACACCCCGAAAGTCCCCAGGTTGTGAAGACATGATTTCATCTGTTCTGAAATAGCGCGCCCAAGCTCTTTGTAGGTCCTTATGCAACTTTTTCCAGTACTCGATGGATTCGAATAGCCGTCAAGAGAGTGGAAAAGAACCAAGCTTTCTCCGATCGTCAAGTATGGCGACAGGCAAAATGTCACCAGTCATAGACCAGTAGCCCTACTACTACTGGTATCAAAAGTACCGGAAACTATTATCGATGATCACATCAGAGAGTTCCTCCATAGGACTTATTGACTCCATGAAGCCTAACACGGTTTCAGCTAAGACGGATCCCATGTAACAAACCTTGGGACAATTGGACATCATGCTGGGATACGAATGTCCTAGTCCATGTTGTCACCCTAGACTTTGAGAAGGCATCTGACACAGTTCATCATGGCCTTCTCCTACACAAAATAAGTCAGGCTTGTGTAGGTGAGCCGCTTCTGTCACGGTTGGAGGACTACCTAGCCGAAAGGAAATTCTGCACTAAGGTCAGTCTAGTCCGATCATCTTGACACGGCTCATCACCAGGAGTGTCGCACAGTTCTATCCTAGGACCAGTGATGTTTTGATTTTTATCAACGACCTAACATGCCGTCTAAGCTGCCTGACTCTTCTATATGCTGACGACGTAAAGATATGGAGACCAACAAAGTGTTCGTAAGACCCAGATAGGCTGCAGGAAGATCTAAAGCTTATAGAAGACTGGGCGGTAGCCAGTGATACAACTTTCAACCTGAAAAAGTGCAGTGGTGAAATTGCGTACCTGTAGGCTGCAGAATGCAAGTTACACCCCGTGCAACGAAAGCCTGTCCTGCACAACGTCGGAGTGTGACTTGGGTTTAGTTCTAACGGAAAAAATGGACACAAGCGCAAATTACACGGGGGACGTAGCGAGGGCATATGCGGTCAGACACTCTACACATAGACAACTAGGTGCACTCACTTCTGAGCTCTTTCTAAGGTTGCACAAAACATGCGTCAGACCACATCTTAAAGTGCATAATATCATTACATCCCCATTGCTTGGAAGAGACGCCAACCTCTTGGAAAGAGTCCAACGACGGGCAACAAAAGGAGTGGTTGGTCTCCGAAATAAACCACATGATGAACGGTTAAGTAAATTAGGCCTATTCGCACTTAGCTACCGTCATCTTAGGGGGGATTCGATTACTGCCTACAAAATAACAAATGACCAGAATCACCCAAACAAAGGTGTTCTGCCATTGAGTAGGTATGGGACTCCGGGTGCACTCCGACTTATTTTCACCGCAGGTCCGCCGTCCCTGGGACTCATTACTGGCAGATATGGCAATGGCATTGTCTGTGGACACCTTTTAGGGAAGGCTGGACAATAATGCAGCGATACAAAGGCTGAGTCTAAATGTCCTATCCCCTTAAAATCCCATACACCATTCATGGTTAAACAACTAAATTCGTCGTTTTACTTCTTCACATTCTCTCCCGTCTTACTCTTCTGACTACTCCAACTACTACACTTATACATTGTTATTACCGATATTATAAACATATACATAAATATGTATATATATGTATATATTTAAACTTTAAATTGAGTTGGATGTCTGTTTTTACTCTTTCTTTATTTCTTTTTCCGTCTTTTAATCTGGATAACCTACGCTTATTATATATATTATTATTGTTATCTCTTTTCTTTTGGTGACGATACCGGAACACTAACTGGCAAAAGGGTCAACTCCATTCACAGTAGCAAGAAATTTCAACACACCACATACTACATCTGATTAATCCCAGCACTACTCCTTTTGGAGTCAACCAAAGCTACGACAGTAGAGTGGTGGGACGAAGACCATTAACCTTTGCCTCAAAATCAAGAAGCGAGCACAAAGAAATCGAACTGGTTTTTACTAGCTCGTAAAAACGATATTGGTTATTGAACAAGGCAAAGTTGAATTAAAGGAGAATGTGTTTAGATTTACTTACTTCTGAAAATTCACTTACTCGGAAACAATAACAGTTTTTCTATATCTACCTAGGTGCATTTCGATATCTTGAGTGTTTATTGGAAAGTCAACCGCATCCGATCATCCTGGCACACCTCGGCATCAGGGGTTCCTCAGGGTTGATGTTTTTGATTTTTATCAATGACCTGCCCTGTCAACTGAATTGCTCTGCGCTTCTTTACGCTGACGACGTAAAGATTTGGAGAGCAATAAACTCATCGGAAGACTCCGACAGATTGCAGGCTGACCTGCAAACGCTGGGGGACTGGGCTCTGGCTAACGGAATGCCTTTCAACTTAAAGAAGTGCAAAGTAGTGCAACTTCATTCCGGCAGGTCACAGAGTGCAAATTACACCCTTGGTGGCCAGAACTTGAGTTGTGTGCCATCAGAACGCGATCTAGGCCTTATTTTAACAGAAAAGCTAGACACCAGTGTAAATTACACGAGGGACGTCGCCAAAGCTTACGCCACTTTACACTTTATGCATAGGCAGCTGGGAGCTCTTACTCCTGAACTATTCCTAACGTTGTATACGACATACGTGAGGCCACTCCTTGAGGTGCATAATATCATTGCTCCTCCGCTACTCAAAAGGGATGCTAACATGCTAGAAAGTGTCCAGAGACGAGCGACAAAATGGGTGATCGGCCTCCGCAACAAATCATATGAGGAGAGACTGAAGAAATTAAGTCTTTTCACACTTAGTTACCGTAGTCACAGGGGAGACCTCATCACCGTCTATACGATCCTAAATGACCAGGCCCATCCTAATAAGAGCATCCTGCCATTAAGTGATTATAGGCTTCCACGAGGTAACCCGCTAAGGATAGCACACCAGAGACCAAGGACTCGAGTGCGTTCACATTTCTTCTCGCTTCGAGTTTGCCGTCTCTGGAACGCTTTACCGGCGGCCGTAACTACAGCTCCATCTGTGGAGATTTTTAAGCGGAAGCTGGACAATCATGCAGAAATGCATGGTTTGTGTCTCAATGGCTTACCCTCTTAAAATTTGAAACCACATTGTCAATGGATAAGCATACAATCTAAATCCCCACGACCCGTCCTGTCTTCTCCCACTGTACCGACTACTCTATCTTTTCTTTCTTTCTTTATTATTTCACTTATCTTAACCTATATTATCTACACTACAACCTATTATTATCATTATCATTATTATTATTATTACTCTACTTTTATGACTATACCGAATGACCAACGGGTGTTAGGTCAAACTCCATTCACGGCAGCAGCTGAGTCCTAACATACTGCACACTACAAACCACAATCTTGACCAATCCTCGCATCACTCCTCCTGGAGTCTACCAGAGCTAAAGCAGTCGAGTGGCGGGATTTACTACGCATAAGTTCACCGAAGATCTGGAACCTCTACCTTAAAATCAAGAAGCGAGCTCAAAGAAATCACTGGTTTATACTAGCTCGTAATCAGGATATTGGATATTGGAAAGGAGAAAATTCGTAATCACTGGCTCGCAACAAAGATATTGGTTGTCGGATAGCCGCGCTGTTTGGTTCAAATCGCTACAAGACGCAGTCGACAGGTAAATTCTGTTCTCCTTCAGCAAGCTGACAACCAGGAATTGTTCTCTGGTTAAATTTTCGATATATGATTAGTAAATCTTCAAATTTAACCAGGGATACACCTGACTTTGTTGTCAGTTGCAGTCCATAATGATTGCTTTCCGGGTTTTAGCAAAATAACTGTTGTGAGCGTAAGAGTTCACAACCATGCTTGGTAAGAAATAAGGTGCCAAGGAAACTCAGAACACTGATACTAACATAGATCTTGACTGAGTACTGGGATGTGTATATTGAAGACTATAGTCTCAGAATCCATTACAAGTGGCCTCGGAGTGGAGATCCCCATCGTACATCGTTGTACGCACTCTACGTAGTGATAGTATGTAGTTCTTCGTTTAGTGTAACCAAGGTTGCTTTTATTGGTCACTAAATTGGTGCTTCTCTTAATTCATTATTACTTGACAACGTAGGAGGCATGCACTGCAGTGTTTCCTTATGTTCCTTTCTTTGAGGTAATAATGTTTTGGGTGATACTGTCGTATGCTAAGCGATAATACTCAATTTATCGATATAATGTTTAGGTTGCTTCTCATGAGTAAACATAACGTACTTATAGGAGCCTATCTTATGCATAGCTTGTTTTTTGAAAATCTTGGGAAAAACCCAGTTCTTGTTTATTGAGAAAATTCGGCGTATAAATCTCCTAGCCTTGTTCTTTTGCTTATGACACGTTAATTTACGATATTTTTTCAGTGAATCATGTTACCAATACAACATTTATGTTATTGAATTAAGAGAACTAATCAAATTCTTAGGGTGTCTGAAGAAATATGTTTAGTTTTGTACAGTGTATGATCAATTATTTCAAAGGTTAGTTCCTAAATCCTTAATTGTAGTCGAAAAATTAGATATGATTCCTACTAAAACGACTGAAGTTGATTACTGTCAATTCACTTCCACTAATCCCATACGTGCGTACAAACGTTGAAGTAAAGTGAACATTTTTAAAAGTGATAATTAGAACAGTGTGAGAGGTTGTAGAAGGCTTATTGGCTTCAGACACCAAATTCCACAAAATCTCAGAAAATGAAATACACAGTGGATAGAAACAAAATTATGTTGTAGAGGAAATAGAGATTTAAAGGGAAAGAGCAAACTGAAGACTCAGATTCGGATTATAAGGATAGAAGGCCCTTGTTGCCTATATTAATCCTCGCGATATATATCTCTGCAGAGATCCAGTTTTTCTTTGAAAGCGTTCACCGATGGAGCTTTTACTACTGAATCTGGTAAGGAGTTCCAGTCGTTGACCACTCTGTGAGAGAATCTAAATCTCGCCGTACTTTCGATCTCGGTTTGAACACCTTGTGGTCAATCCCAAAATCACCATTTAATGTATGGTATGCCAAAATGAAGTCGCCTCTCCTCCTTCGGTATGATAATGCGAAGAGATTTAAATGATGCATCCTCTTATCATAAGGAAGTTGTGAGATATCACTAGCTAATTTGGTTCCCACCCTCTGTACTCTTTCCAGGATATGTGTCTCCTTTTTGAAGCATGGTGTCACCGCTTGTATGCAGTACTCTAGATGAGGTCTGTCATATGTTGAAACATACCGTCGTCTAATCGTTTGAAAGCCCTTCGAAGTGCCCATAGCATTCGAAAAGCCTTAGCTGAGGCTCGATCACAATTTGTCGTTGTTTTTAAGTTATGGCTCACAATAACTTCCAAGTCCTTTTGTTCCATAACATTTGGCAGTTCTATGTCCTCCAGGGGGTATGGTGTGTAAGACCTCTGACTTAGGTTCATTACCGCGCTTTTCTTGGAATTAACTTCCAGACTCCAAAGGTTAGCGCATTTGGCTAACTTATCTAGATCGTTTTGTAGTACCAACCTATCATCGTTACTATTTACGGTTTTCCATATCTTAATATCGTCCGCAGATAGTAAGGAAGATGAGGTAAGAATTTTCAGCACTTCATTTACGTACAATAGGAATAGCAAGGGGCCAAGTACCGTTCCCTGAGGTACTCCACTTAGTACTGCTTTTCACCCTGACAGTACACCATTAACCCTTACCTTCTGCCTTCTATCCATCAGGTAGTCGCTAAACCACTCACACAGGCGTTGGGCTAATCCATAACGTTTGAGTTTACTAAGAAGACCTAAATGGGATACCTTATAGATAAAGACAACGTCCAGTGGATGGTTTTTATCCCTGGCTTCGACCCAATCTTCCCTAGCTAACAGTAAGTTAGTCAGGCAGGATCGTCCTGGTCGGAATCCATGCTGTTCCACTGCCAGTAAGCCATATTTCTCCATATGAGCTAAGATCTGATCCCTTACTACCGTTTCTAACACCTTTGCTATGATGCAGGTCAGACTTACAGGCCCGTAGTTAGATACTAACTGCCTGTTCTCCTCTTTGAGGATGGGGCTTATTAAAGCATCTTTTCAGTCCCTGGGTAGCCTAGCATGGGTCAGAGACATTGAGAAATCTCCTTAATTGGAATGTATATTATATCCGCCAAGGAGATTAGCAGTCTTGGGTGAAGCATACCAAAATCCAATCGATTTTTTAATGTTTATCTTTGAGTTGTGATTCTCTCCACTGATTACTTTGTTTCAGATGGTAAAAAAATTATCTTGCCTACTAAGATTACAGTCTTTTAGGCAATATCGATCGCCTCCAGATTTGATATGATTCACCATCTAGCATAGACCCTTGCTATGTTTATGTTCTAGCAAATTGATTGATGACAATCTCACTATATATATTGGCTGTAGGTAAAGTTAACCCTAGGATAAAGTTTGTCTGGTAAGTGTGAATACATCTTCAGTTTCTTCCTAACTTCCCTATTAGCATGACTAGTTATTGTTAATTTTATATTTTCTACTTAAAGCTGTGGATATTTCTCTTTTTATCTCATTATTCATTCCTGTTCAGTATGTCTGCCAGATCTATGGAGTATTGCTGACGCCTGTAACTTTCATGTACATGTAAATTGGATATTTTTGAGGGGGATTAGATAAGGCATCAACTCTCTCCTGATAAAAACATTACTAAATTCCCTCTACGTGTTCATTTCGGATGCGCATTATTCTACTTATTCTTAGTAGACAGATGTTCACTGGGATTTTGCTCTGATCTCTTGGTCAGCTTAATAATAACTACGTTGTATTCAAAGCAGATTTTCTTCTAACTGCATAAGTGAAGCGAGTAATGCATATATATAGGTTGCTAGTTTAATTTTGCGGTAACCTAAATCTCTTCACATTTTGTAATAGTTTGTTCCAATATTTACTCCATAAGTCTGCGTTGTTAAATTTTAAGCGGACAAAACAAAATATATCTATATATATATAAACTCCGAAATCCCCCTAGTGACTCTGTTTTGTGTCTAACACAAATCACATTCTGTTTTTGTAATAAATCTTCTGCGTATTTTTTCTTTTTGAGTTTTCCTATGGAATTCTACATGTTTTGTGTAAAAAAAAACAAAAAAATAAATAAAGATAGATTATAGTTAATTATCATAAGATGTCTGACTTATTTATTCTTTGATTAAAAATGTCCATTAGAAATTTCAAATTATTGATTACTGAACAAAGAGTATTCTTTCTGTGATGAAGTCTTCTTCATTAGGTTCTACAGTTATGCATCCATAATAATAATAATAATGAGACAATTATTGTTATTGACAACATTAACGGCTTCTTTCAATAAAAATAACATCAAATCATTGATAATAGAATTCCAAAAGTTATTTACAACTAGAGTGTTAATAGATTATAACCCAAAACATGTGTGTGTGTGTGTGGGGGGGTTAATATGTATAAATGTAACACGAAATCGATCACCAACATTTCAAAGTAAATAATTATGAATGACATTGAATATTTAGTAATGAATGTTCATGAGGTGGGTGATAATATGTCTTCTGATAAATATGTTCTGTACAAACGGTCATAGTATGAGCAAGTAGCATACCTTATATATGGTGTGTTGTACTTCAACCACTGCTTACCTAATTTATGAAGGGGTGGCAACTGGATTGTATTCTCGGCGTGTAAACAATGAACTGTACTCAACTGAACTTCAACATAGAACTCTACAAAGAAGTGTAATAGTTCAAACTGCAAAATTTCATAAAAAATGGGAAATGCAAAGAAGTTATAATAAACGTTAATGTAAAAGAGAAGAAATAAATAAGTGGAAAATAATAAAGATTTAACGAACACGAGATAGCACAAATTGTGATTGCATTATTGGACCATTGAGGGCAATTTTGAACCGTATTTATTAACAGTCTGAAAACATTGGTTGTTAGGGTCCTTAACCAGGCAGTTTGCGCCTCTTTATTTGGCTCAAACCGGAAACTGCATTTATTGATAGCACGCTTCTGTTTGACCACACCAAAGTCTTCTACCTGCTTACATCATTTGATGAGGAAGGTGATAGACTTTGATGTGGTTGTGTTCTCTGAGCTGGATAGTTAGTTTGCGGAGCTTTCATCACCCTACTAGGTGACATCTTCAGCACATACTTCAATTCGATGAAGTGAGCTTTTAGATTTCTCCAAGAGTTTATTAATCATCTCTCCCGGTGACCTTGGACGTGATTGTTTGTTTTTGTGCGTTTTCACACCTTCTAGGCTACTTGTATCGGAACTGATTGTTTCTTTGACTTGAACTTTTACCCTTTTGACAAAAGACATGATATCCACTCCCTCATATCACTACATACAGACAACCACGGACATCAATTCGACTCGGACAATGTTCAAATACTAGACAAAGGAAACAACAAGAATGCTAGAGAATTTTTAGAAGCCAGCCTGGTATTCCATTGAATCATAAATCAATAGACACATCGAGAAAGACAAAATTTATCAACCGATAAGAAAGAAACCTCACACACAAAGGGTCCAAGTCGAAGTCAAAGAAACAATCAGTTCCGATACAAGTAGCCTAGAAGGTATGAAAGCACACAAAAACAACCAATCACACCCAAGGTCA